TAAGGATTTAACTATATTACACTTGAAAGAATGTGAGCTACTGTTGACTTCGATGGGTAAAAACAGGCTAGGGCAATTTCCAGGAAGGAAATGTTATTGAGGCTACAATAAGGCAGTAAAATCCTTAAAAAGCAAAAGGAAAAAAGGGAGTAATTTCTCTCATATGAATGTTAATTCCTACCACAAAAGACCACGCCATTTTATGAGAAAGTATAACTAAATGACATAAAATATTGTCATCATATCATAGACAACACTTTCTAGTAAGTAGACTTTAAAAAGGCTCTGATAATCAATGTTGTATCCTCCTTTGATCTATGGTATTTTCCTCCTTTGTGTGAAAGCAATTCACATTAACTTTCCTGTGCTGAGTGAATGTTGAAACAGTGTCATTTGAGAATTCAGGGAATGAACACACCATAACGATCACTTGCATTAAATAAAAAAGCAAAATTTGTGGGAAGAAATGTCCACTGACTTATATCCCCTTACACATAGCCAGAAAATATGTTGAGTTTCATGTGCCTGGGTGGAAAAGTGCAAGGACAGAAAGATCATTTTTCAAAGTCATTTTCTGAAATGATTGTGCCTCCGTTGATGTTGATGGATCACATGAAGTTATTCTTTGAAGCTTTAAGAATAAGCAAGAACTTATGAGAAAAACTGATTTTTTAAAAAGGGTGTCTGTTGTGTTGGTGATTCTTGAAAAGATTTTTCACTCGCTTTCCTCTCAGCCGAGCAGGTGTTCTTCTGGTTTTATCTATGGCTGATAGTAGCCTTTATCATTCTCCCATCCCCGCCTCCCAAGAGTAGGTTTTCATGCTTCCAGATATAAGGCCACTCCTCCCGCCCGCCCACCTCACCTCCCAAAGGAAGAAAAATCTCTTTGAAAGACCTTCTCTAAGAGTGCCAGCTTCCAAGCTCAGTCAATTCACTCCTTTTTCCATGGTGCAGTACATCTGTTACCAATGATTCTATCTGAACCACATGGGATGCTTAGGGTAATGGAGAGTTTCCATTAAGAACCCTCTCCCTTCCTCTCACCGTGGGTTTTATTTTGTGGGCCACTCCTGAGCCAGCTGGCTGCCTTCACCTTCCAGGTGTGCTCTGGGAGACGAGAGCACGCTGTGCAAGGACGGACGAGCAGTGTGGAGTACCAAAGACACCGAGTGCTTCTAGGAGGGAAGACCTCAAGGCTTTTAAGAAAGCCGCTCTCCCGGTTTGCTTAAGAGAAGAGTTAGGGCTAAACATCAGAAGGTAAGAAGTGGCCTATTCTCAGCTCAGGTCCTAGGAAAGGAAAACACTATCTTGCAGAAGCTGTCTAGGAGTTTGAAAGAAAGTTTTGAGTGGATGTCTTTGCTCCAAGCATCCTAAATTCCAAATCAGGTAAAGACTGAATAATCACCGAACCTAGAAAATCTGAAACAGTAGTAGCTTAGAGACTGTCTCCTAAAAGAAGATGCTTAAACCTGCCAAAGCCCCAGACTGAGAGCTGGAAGCCTGGCGGACATCTAAGTTTACTGGAGCTTCTTGTACTGGGGGGCTGGACAGATTTAGAAGCAGCAAGAGAAAGACGCGCTAAAGAAACAAAACGAGCAACATTCCAGTCCTGTGGCCTCAGCTCTTCTGGAAGGGCGGAATTCAGGGCCACGCCCCCGCGGACGGAAGGATCTGGCCTTCGCCCTGTCCAGCAGCTACTAGGACAGCGACGCGGCTGCAGAGAAAGAGGTGCCTCGTTGCCACTGTGGAGGGACCACCGCTCTGCCAGCGCCTCGGCCTCCCCGAGGCCTGCCCGGGGCGTCACGAGCTCTGCAGCAGAAACGTTGGCCCGGAAACCTCTAACTGGACCTGGGGCAGGACTTTCTAAAATGCACCTTGTGTCATCAAAAGTATGTTCCAAAAATATGTCCGCTGGGTGGGCGCCCCCATGATGGCAAGTTGTGCCAACTAGGGATGGAAGGAGGGGACATGCCTGCGACCCAAGGCGAGGCGCCCACACCCGCGCCTACCAGAAGTGACCCTTAGCGCTGTCCCCACTGCGAGCCGGGTCAGCGGCCGGGAAATGTGTGCCGAGTGGCTGAAAGAGCTGCCCCGAGTGCGGCCCGCCGGAGTCAGGCTTGGGGCGGGGCGGGGGCACTGGGTGCAGCAGCAAAGTTTTCCTGGGCACTGGAGAGGAGCCGCCGTGGCGAAGTCTGCGACCTCCTTCGCGAGGGCGCCTTTACGTGTGTGTGTGTGTGTGTGTGTGTGAGAGAGGAGGAGGGGGGAGGAGGAGGAGGAGGAGGAGGAGGAAGGGAACATGGACTGAGAAAGGGTTAGTGGTGGCGCAGGCTGAAGATGGGCAGGGAAGGAAGGGAAGGCATCTGGCAAAGGTCTACACCCAGAGCGGGGACTATTCCACGCCTGGCGCGCGGCGGTCAGTTGGAGGAAGCAGAGTGGAGTCCGTTCTAAGAGGAGCGGGGGAGGATGGCACAAAGCTCTCGAGGAGGATTCCACCATCCGCAGGGGGAGGGGTCGGTGCCGGGGCTCGCGGTTGCCATGGCGCCGCGGCTGAAGCTCCCAGCTCTTGGCCCCGCTGAAGGTGGAGGATGGAGGGGCGGGCGTTCTGTGCTGCCTTCCCTGGAGAGGCAGCCAGACACTGTTCAGGGGCAGCTGCTCCACTAGGAATTCCAACTCCTTCCCTACCAAGTCACAGGGCCAGGGATGAAACGCTGGTTCGACTTTAGAGCCAAAGTTGAAAACAGTCTTTCTCAAGAGTGGTATATATGCGCTTAACCAAACATCCAGTCCACCCAGAATATGCTCACCCCAGAAGAAAGCGAAAAGCCTACTATTGCATCAAAATGGTCCCAAGAGGAAAATGTTGCAATGATTCCAAAGTACACAGTTCTTCCCCAGAACTCAGGTCAGATATAAGAGGAAATGGATCTCCACGTGGAAGTTGTTTGAAGTTAATGTAAAAATAACAGGTTATCTAGAAAGTAGGTTGTTGGTTTAAGGACCGAGGGACTAATGTGGAGGTCTTTGCATGGAATCATGTTTAAGGACGTTCTTAGTAAGAATTGGTCTAGGAAAATGTATTTTTGTGTGTGTCAGCTCTTTTGGAAAACTGCTACACACGGTGCTACAGTCGCCAAGATTTTTAATATGAAGATATGAAATGATCAGCGAATGTAACAATCTAATGATTCAGCAAATATTGTTCTTCAAGACCAGAGCAGCAATAATTAAATCTTCAGAGTATTGGTGGCAGTTTTCCTGCTCCAAGTCGTCTTTTTTTTCCACCCAGTCCACAAATGTACTAATGCACACTCATTCGAAAACACATATTAGAAACCATCTCGGGATTCCATTCAATACTGAAAAGAGTGGACAAAACCACCATACTGTAACACTTAGCGTGCTTGAAGCAAAACTGTTGAAAACACACGTGCATGCACACACGCACGTGTGCACACACACAGTTTCCAGTAATATAGAGGGACCTGTTTACTCCTGTCCAAAAAAGTGAGCATTCCTGTGGATTCTTGTTGCTATGAGCAACATGTTTAAGTACCATATAAAGGCATGAAGGAAGCAGGAAAACTACTACAGTAGGACTCCAGCTATAATCCATTGTCTCTGGTTGTGTGTGTGTGTGTGTGTGTGTGTGTGTGTGTGTGTGTGTGGCGTAGGGGTGGAGTTCTCTTTTGAAATATATGTAAAAGAATCACTACCTTATTTCCAAAAAGCCTGAGAAAGTGAATTTTAGCATTACAGAAAAAACACACATGAGGAAATAGAAGATGCTATAGGTGTCATAGAAGATGAGCAAATTACTCTTTGCTTTAAATTGGACTGAATAACTTAATGCATCTGCTTTTATCTCTAAGACATATTCTCAGGGTTATTTGGCTTTCTGCACTCTTTCCTCTAAATGCACTGGAACTGAGAAAAGACTGGCCTACTGTAGGAGTATTTACCCAGTTGTCCTCTCTTGTTGCTACCTAACTTTTCAAGACTAGTTCTGCTGCTCCTAAAACTCTATGGGCCCCAGGGAGTGGGCTAAACATGTCCTTTGCTACATCTTCTCAGGGCATGTCTCCTGACCAGGGATTCCACTGGAGCCCCATGTTTAGATTTTCCTTCAAGCTTCAATGCAACCTTGATTCTTAATAAAGCAGTAAATGCTCCTGAAATGCAACTATCTCCGTTCTTTTACCATGCCAGACTGAAATAAAGATGCAGACTTAGACCCCCCATATACAGTCCCCCACCACCACAGTTACTACTTAGCCCAGGACTTTCAAAGAAAAAGCTATGAAAGAGGAATTCAGCAGGTTAAAAACAAACAAACAAACAAACAAGAAGCCTGCCTGATTATGACACCATTTCGCTCCCACTGGGCATCCTCCTCCCCCTTATTAAGTAAATTCTTGAATTTTACAACAACTTTTTTAAAAACTCTGTATCCCTGTAAGGGTACCAGAAAACGAAGAAGCTATTGCGTTAACTGAAAAGATTCTGATAAAAGAAATCAATAGGGCTAAAGCCTTTCGTTTGCACTTGAGGACTTGCCTCGGTCGGGCGGAAGCGGACAGGCGCAACTCGCCAGAGTTTATCCGATATTAACTCATCAGCTGCGCTAGCTGAGAGGCTTGCAGCCCAGCTCTCACTTTCGCTCGGTGGCCGGCTCAAGCTTGCCAAGCCCGGAAGGCTGCGGAGTCCCAGGGTCACCACAGTCTGGGCGACTGGCTACTGTGGAGAGGTATAGGAGGGGCCAGGGGTACACACTCACTCACACTCCCTTCACCCGCCCGCGGCTACACATTTAAAAACAATAAAGAAAGATAAAGAAGAAAATAAATGCAAGCACAGGGAGTTCTTTAAAACCAGGAAGGCAGCAGAGCAGAGAGCAGCTCGGGAGGAACCGAGCCCACCGCGAGGCAGAGCGAAGCCGCCTGTTTACATCCGGCTGCGTTGGAGCCGGATACCAGGCAATGGGGAGGTTTGGGGAATCTTACCAAATCTTAACACATGTGTGGTTCCTTGCGAATATCCAATCCACAGTAAACAGAACAAGAGTCTAATAGAGCGCCTGAAGACTAGATTACTTAGAATCGGGGAAATAATCTTCATGGTGTTTCCGTGCCTACACGCGCGGCACCCACTTCCCCGATCTAGCGTTAGGCTCCCGGTTTGGGCAGGAATGAGAATGCGTCGAGTGGTGGCCGCAGACACGATCACGGCATGGTCACGGAAAGAGGAAGGAGTCTCCGCTTCCCAAACCCATTAGCAATCGCTGCATGTTCTTCACTCACTGCGCCAAGGAGCAACCTTCCACTGCAAGGGATGGTGGGACATCCATGTTAGTCGGGGAGCATCCGGGAGAAATCCAGCTCGCACACCCACAACCTCCGGCAGCTCGAGCCTGAGGAGGCAAAAGAGGAGGGAAATCAATAGGAAACCCAGCTTCGAAAACGGATGAGGTGAGAGAGAGCGACCGTCCCAGCACAAAAGGCGCTTTGCTTGCAAAGGTTTTGCCAGGCCCTATTCTACTGCACTGCTGCACGGCTTCTGACGTGAAGCCAAGATTAAGTGAGAAAAATTGAGATAGCTAGCTGCTCGTCTCTGAAGGCTCACTACCAGCGAGCTTCCCAATATCTATTATGCAACCGATCTCCTGGTCCCCTCTGAGTTGTAAAACAGAAGTCAGATTTATTTACGTGATAAAAACTGTCTTGATTCTCAAGACTCTGCTGAGAGTGACTGGTGTATACAAGCAGACTTCTTACAATCAACTGATGAATTTTAATAAATGACTGGTTAAGGCAAAGTCACTTTGCCTAGGGATTGTAAAAAAGGAAATGCTCTAAGACAGAGGAATTTACTGTAAATCTAACTTGTGGCTAGCCTGAAAGAAATTCTTACTTATGCCTTTTTATTGTATTTTGACTAGGAATAAATACAGAGTGGAAATACAGTTGGAGAGGTGACTGTAATCTTTAAAACCTTAAGAATGCCTTGATTACTACCCAGGAGTAATCAGAAATTTCTTCAAGTGGACTTTTAGGGAGAATTTTGAATTAAGTGAGGGACTCATATTTTCCTACCCATTTTAGCTCATCTATAATAATTGCACCTATACCAAACCCAGTATTTGAATTGGTGCATCAAACACCAAGGGCTTTTTATGTTCATATTTCTTTGTTTTTTGGAAAGAAAATCTTTAAAAGAATATGGGATTGTAGCTTCAGCAACATGAGTATCACACCTTTGTCTGCAAAAATATTATCATTTTGCCAGTGTTCTGGTGAGAATATTTAGAATCCACTCTCTGAGCTTTCCTAAGTAGCAATTTATTCTGGGGAAAATGCAGAAACAGATGTTTATTTTAACATTAAAATTGAAATTATTTTTATGGCTGAAATAGGTAATACACTGTCTATAGATTAAAAATAGTCAATGTTAATATTTCACATTAGTAAGTAAAACTAAAATGAATAGCAATAAATATAGAACTGTTAATATTTTTTAAACTGACTAAGCAGTACAAATGGCAAACTGTTGGACTTGTATTTTACAATTAGTCTTTTTTCATTGCCAACTAACAAAGGATTAAAACATGAAAATTTATAAGCTGTCCTTTTTAAAGACAATCTAATTTTAAAATAAGACATGATAGGAATATTATTTAGCTCTTGTTATATTTCTTCCAAATAGTGAGTAAATACTTTAATGTAGTCTTTCCATTATAGTGATTTTTAATCTATATTTTCTTAAGATATTATGAAATGCTGATTTGAAGAAAATCTACATTTACAAAGGCACTAAGTGGCATTGATTTTTTTAAAGATGGAGGCACAACTGCAATGTCAAAAATAAGTTATCATGAATGGCTAGTTCTGCAGTCTAGTAGGCAATTCAATCAAATTCGACTATTTGAGCAGTTTCAAAGGAACACCTACTGTTAAAACCAAGGGTATCTAGCGACTCCTTCAGTCCATGTTTAAAATATCTCTCATAAAACATTTACAGCCCAACATGTTCTGTCTTGTATTTGCTGTCTTATTTATTCCATTCTACTTGTTCTTTTTATTTTGATCCTACCAGAGATAATAATGACTGCCAGGGAAAAATAAATATTATTAGTCTTTCAATCTCCCAATATAATTGATATCTACTACCTGGAAATAGTATGTTCTATTGTGGCTAATCAAAAGACTACAAATTTTTCAGTGTAGCTGGCTTTTAGTGAAACCTGAGAAAACAAAAATGTACTGTAACTCTTTGTTCATGTATTCTGTTAACATAATGGTATTTGTCATAAGGATTAGAATGTATCTACATAAAACTAGCATTTTAAACTTGTAGTTTGTGTGGGGTTATTTGTTGGACATCTAGTTAGAAAAGCAAAAGATCAATCTTCCAGATTTACAAAGTTCATACAAAATAAACAGTAAAAATGTCTAGTATAAATTTTTCTTACTACTAATTGGTCCCCAAAGAACAAAATTTGCACATATGCTACATTAGGTTCATTTACATCCATTAACTAAGTTGAAAACCTTTAACACAAGAGACATCAACTTCACCTGTCTTAATGGACTTCATCAAAACTAGGGAAGACCTTCTTCAGGACCGCGGACAGCGCTCCCAGCCTGGATTTATTTGGCAGTTGTTACTGAAACTAGTACAATGAATGGCTAGTATGCCATTTGAAGTGACAGTGTACATATTTCTACCACACAGAGTCAAGTAATTTGAATTATTGCAGAATACATAGTAAGAGGACAATTTGTCAACTGTGTTGTATACATTTTTCAGTATGAATAACTGGGATTGCTTGACACACATAGGATGTGCTGTCATCCCTTTCCAGGACATACTACAGCAAAAGCCACTGTGAGATATCTCATGAGCACTAAACTACTTGATTCTCAGTACAAAAAACTGCCCATATAACTACAGAGAATTTAGGGTTCTAAAACTGCTATTGGGATCCAGTGGCTAAAGACATTTCTGAAATGTACAAATAGTTATCATGTTCAATTCTCCACCTCCAGATTTCCATCTGTTATTAGGGTAATCAGATTAATGCTTATTCTTTCTAATTAAACTTCAATCATTCCCCAGAACAGCAACAATAAAACCTACTAAATTCACCTCCCCAATACAACAAAATGATTTGGTGGTGTAGGAGATGCCTCATTGTATGGCAATTTTGAATGATTGTAAGTTTTTGTCCAATACCAGCATGATAAGCATAGTACTGTGGTTATAAGGATGAATAAGATCATTATGCAATATTGCACTAACCAAATTTAACACTTTTAAAAATTGTATCAGTTCCATAGTTTGCTCCTTTCATAAAGGGGAAAAAACACTGCAAACAGATGTCAGGTGACCATTTATACTGAGTAATACTGAAATTTATATACTTTATTCTATGATCTCCATTTGCTTCATTACCAGTTTAACCACATGAGAACCTTTATTTCTAGGAGTCAAGGCTCTGAAGGTTTCAAGGTCAAAGCAGAAATGAAAAACTGGGAACAAACACATGTGCACACACAGTGAGGAGTTGTGCTAAAAGTAAAACTTGACAAAAATACTATAGACGGCTGAGAGGAAATAAAAAGTCTATGATAAATACTAAAAGAAGAAAATACAAGTCATGTTCATTCAAAGCATATTCCAAACAACAACAACAAAAAGCTATTAACTTCATCTTTCACTGTATTTTTATATTTGCTGACAGTAATGACCTCTTATTCTTGGGCACTATTACTTGAGAAGCAATTTTAGTTTCCTATTCTCCTGGTGAAAATGAATCTTATTCTAGTTAGCTGCCACCTGCTGGGGCATGAACAAATGTGTAATAATCCTTATAGCACAACATTTAAAAAGACAATGCCTATAGCTTTTGCTGGAAACAGCAAATATATATCCCAGATCAATCTGAATTTCCAAAGTGCTTCAAAGGTTCTTCCACACCAGAACTATATTTATATTTTTTCACATGGAATTCTTACTAAAGATTACACTCATTAATGAAGTTTTGCTGCTATGTGACATTTGAGAAACCTCATCTTAGAGTAACACTCAACCTGTTCTTTAATGCAAGTGGCCTATTGTATATAACAGGTGAGCTAAAACAAACAAACTGCTCACCCATGTCATTAAAGAGGCCAGAAAATAAAATCAGGGCTGAGATCTGTTGAAACTACACTGTTGCATACTTGAAATCCAGTCTTCTAACTATGAATGCTATGGCATCCCTTGTGGTTCTGAATACAACCACTCTGCTGCACTGATGATTAATGACACTTAGAATTTTAATTAATTTTAGATGCTGAAAAGAAATGTATCTTAATTAAGAAATTGAACTAGAATAGATTTATGTGTCCTGGAACATTAAAAAAAAACCTCAGCTTGTGCAACCTTCAATAGAAGAAAACAAACAGGTAGAATTGTAGGCATCTCCAATTTCTCTATCACCTTCCTCCTGTGTGTTTTTTTGTTTGTTTAACTCATATATGTCTAAGACCACAGAAAGGAAGTTGCTAAGATGCCTTGCTTGTTACGGAAATGTGTTCTGCAAAAAGTTATAATGTAATGAACTAAGATCCAGCAACTAAACTACAGATTAAGTTTCAAATGAACCAATCTTCTCTTGTGAAATTAAAATAATCATTAATCTATAAGGTAATTCTTGATTGTGGAATATTTACAGTATGAAGACGAAGACATGATAGAAGATAATCTGTGTAATACCCAAAGGACCATAATAGTACGTTTTCTAATACATACTCCCTATTCTCTACATTGGAAAACATTATCTAAGAAGCCTCAGACCAGACGTGTTTGTTGGGAGGGGTGGGTGAGAGGGAGAGAGAGAAAGAGACTCCTCTCTTTTAGGATAAAAATATTAGAAGACGCAGCTCATTAAAAGTTCTTGACGTTTGTGTTCCACCCCAGAGACAGGACCCACTCCTTACCCTAATCGGACGCCTTCGGAGTTTTTCCAGGAGCGCTCAATACTGGCCTCAGTTGAAATACTGTCTGTGCATCTTCAGCACAGAGCTGAGGGCAGGGTTAAAGGAAGGATGGAGGGACGGAAGGGGGAGAGGGGAGCTGGAGACTTCCGTCAGACCCGCAGGCAGACTCGCGGCTTCTTGCCATCTGTCTCACTCTTCGCCTCTCCCGAGTCCCCGCAGCTGAGGCCACTTCCGGACACGTCCACTTATTAAATTATTTTGCGGGAAGAGCACGAGCTCCTGCAGCCCGAGGAGCAGCTCGCACCCTCGCCGGAGCGGCTGAGGCGAGGGTACCAGGCCGGCGCGAGCAGGTTCAGCAGGTGCCTGGGCGCCGAACCGGGCTCCGCGCCGCCCGCTCTCTCCCTCCTCTCCTGAGGAACCGCTTCGCCCCCACCCGCGCTCCTCCCGTCCTCGTGGGCACAGACACCTCGGGCCGAGCACAGCCCCCGCCGGGCAGTCCTTACCTGGGGCCGGGAGCGCTGGGCAGGAGGGGGTGGGGGTCCTCCGGGAGGAGCCGGGGCGGGACTGCGCGGCGCCCAGACCCAGCGTGTCTGCGGGCGCGGAGCGAGCGCGAGTGACGGCGGCGGCGGGGACGGTGACCGCGAGCGCGGCGGCGGCGGCGGCGGCGGGAGCGGAGACGGACACGCCTCCCGCCTGGGCTTCCTCGACTCCCGCTTTAAAGGAGCCGCGCTCCTTTCTCGCGGCGGGTGCACGCCCCTGGCCTAGGGGCTGCCCAGGTGCAGTGCCCGCCCCTGCGCTGCGAGAACTAGAGCGAGAGCCTTTTGGGCGCTGCCAGATCAGGGTGTCCTGGGCCCTGCGCCCTAGACTTCACCCTCTGCTCGAACACCCGCCTCCTGGGAAGGCGAGGGTGGGTGGGGGACTGGGACCGAGACGCTTGGTCAGACAGCGAGGGATGCAAAAAGCCCGAGGAATTTGCCTCCACGGAGTGGTGACTACGCGCAGCCCCAGTAGCCCCGCCACGTTCGGGTCTGGGTGGTGGCTTTTATACCTCTCCGAAACCATAGCAACGAAACTTCTCTGCTGCCAGGATTTGGAGAGCAGCTGGTAGTCTCCAAAGTGGCCCTCTTCAACTACTGCATTTTCCTTTGACGTTTGCGGGAAATATCTTGATCTTTGCTTCCATCCACCACCACTACCACCACCACCACCCCGCTTCCCCCGATCACAACACCAGAAACGTGCCCTGTTTCTAGTGCTCCCACGGGCACCGGAGTCAAAGCACCTCTCTCCCTGCCTCCCTTACTCAGGAGCACAAATCCATGGAAATAAGCTCTTCCCGGGTGCCAGAAGATTGGCGGGCCATCTTTGCACATATGTGGGGTCTCAATACCAGACCCCCCTCTCTCCCCTCTAGGGCATGGCTGCACAGCCCAAGCACATTGCAGGGGGAAAGAAGTTGAGGTTGAGATCCGGTAGGCTCCAAACCCGAGGACGCAGACTCAAAGGATGGGAAAGGAGCCTCCGGAGCGATTTGAGTCGGTGGCCCGCAGTTCATCCGAGTTCTCCGAGGGACTTTTTAAAGCCCAGATGTGAGGAGGGGGTGCTGGGGTGCCAGAGTCCTCTGGCAACTAGGCTCCCAGGGAGGGACCCCAGAAGAGGGCACAGCAGCTTCCCTCCAGCTTCTCCGTGGAAGCGATTAGCTTCTGCAAACAATCCGGGATTCCCGCTCCTCTGGGTCAGAAAAGTCAACATCTATTCAATGTTGCCGCTATTTTCTCCTCAGTCCTCCAACATTAACTAGAGCAGAGACTTAACAGTTTCCTCCAGAGTACATTGGAGAGCTGTGATTAGCGAGGAGGCTTAAGTGAGGCTGAGGGCAGGCCCTGCTGGCTGGACTCGGGAGGCAAGTTTCAAACCTGTGGTACAGGGAGGGAGCCGGGTGGGATTCCGAGGCACTGTGGGGCCCCGTACCTTAGCACCCAGGCTGCACTTCAGTCTCCACCGCCAAAGGAAGGCCCAGAAGCAGAAAGGCTCTGAACCCCTGGGGAGCAGGGGGACGGAGAGGAGCGGGTGTCCTTCGCTACCTCCTCGCCCCTCCAGGGGCCCCCTCCCCTGTGCCTCCTCCCCTCTTAGTGTTGAGCCTTCCCGGGACTCTGGCACGGCAGTGTTCCCTTCACAGTCTGGGGTAGTGTCTGACTCAGCGCAGCTCTGAATCATACAGAAACTCAGTCCTACCGAAAGCACCGGTCTCTACGAATCACCACCGCGCAGTGCTCTAGGCGCCGGCCGCAAGCCTACTGCGCCGGCTTGGACCAGGAAGACCCAGGGCTTAGGTTAAGGAGAAATGAGTTAGAGGCGATGGAGTGTCCGTTAGTCTTTTAAAGATCCCGGGGGTGGCTGGGAGGTTCCCGTAATTAAGTCAACAGCAGCCTTGTTGTACCGAGTAAATAAATAGTCAATGACTCCTTTGTGAATCCTGGAGCGGGCAGCACAGACGCGTGACTGGCTCCAGGCGCCTGGGATCCAGCTGCTGTGACCTGCAGCCTAATGGGCCCTCCAAGCTCAGCCCAGTTGAGGCCAGGCTCAGAAAAAAATGCCCTATTCAGTCCCATTCCCCCAAGGGAGTAATGAAGACAACTTGTCTAGAGCCAAAGACCCTTTCTTTGCCACCCTGACTCTCCCTGGCCCCCTCCCCTTGGGAAAGGAGGAGGAGAGAAACATCTGACACAGTAGATTCCAGTGGAAATCCCTTGTTGGAGGCATCCACCTTGTTTTCTTGGTGATTCTGAGAGCGTAGAAGAGGGAGTGTGTCTAATTTTATTTAAGGTGTTTAGCACATGGTCTGGCATGAAGTAGGTGCTGAGGGAAAGGGAGGTAATAGGTGAAGTAGGCATACAGAAAGTGAATAGAAGAATGGTGATACCTTCTGCCTTCCACACTGCTGTCCCTAGGCCCACGCAGTATCTGAGGAGAGATTTATGAAGCAACTGCTTTGGTGCTGTATGTAATCAGAAAATCTAGTTTTGGATTTCTTTTCCAAAACAAACTGGATACACTTACAAAAGTACAACAAGCCCTAGCAAGGGCAAGGAGAAGGGGACAAGGGGAAAGAGCTGAGAGAAAAGTGGAACAAATCAAAACTATGCATGTTTTGACAAATTCATGTCTTCAACAGCAAATATTATCTGGAGAAAAGTGGAGTAACCAGAGAGCATTAGAGTGTACACATCCAACTCTGCAAAATATTCTTCCATACTCTAAAGAGATAATATTCATAATTTATTTCAGGATTTATAAGGTTAAACATTTAAAAACTTGGAACACAATTTGTTTCTGGGCAGCCATGACATTTTTCTCTGTACCCTCCTAGTCTCCCTAATACAATCTTCCATGTTTGAGAAGGTCAGTAAGTCCCCTTTTCTATAGTCTTCTGCAGGATGCACCTCCCAGACCTCTGTTTTCACGTCTCAAAGTACTCTTAGCACATTACCAGCTGTGGAATCCTAACTCCTTAGGCCCCAGCAGGGACCCCTGTGTACTTCCAAGCTCACTGCTGGGGTTGGTTCATTTCGGCCTGGGTTGATCTGAATGCTGACCTGGAAGATGTTATCTTGGATCATCTCATCCAGTGCCTTCATTTTGCAGGTGACAAAAATCAAAGTGAGAGAAAAGGAGTGACTTGTCCAGGATGTGGCAGAACTGAGGCTCCTTTCTAGCTGCTCAGTGCAGCAGCAGGCTATCTTCTGTCATTCCTATTCAAAGTTTAGTCACATATGAAGTGAAGACTAAAGGAAGCTTCAAGGACATTTCAGTTTCACAGAAGTTTCCCATAGCTCAGAAAGAAAGAAAACATACACATGTGCACGAGGTCTTGAAGTTTTGCCTACGACAACTAATAGAAGATGCACAGATACCCTGAAGTCTAGTGGTTGGGGAGGAACTCTTAGATCCCAGATCTAGTCCAAAAAATGTCATTTTAAAAATGAGGATAACAGATCAAAATGACTTATGATTCAGAGTGGTTTACGGGTAGTGCCAGGACTATAGACCAAGTGTCCTGATTTCTACCTGTTTCCATTCTCTCGGATCCTTTTAGCTACAATTAGGCATACATTATACTGAGGTGTTAATAACTTATAATTGCCTACAGGGATTTTTCTCTAGGAATAATTAATGTCTGTTATTGAATGATGTGATCTATTATTTATTTCTGAAAGCTCTTGCTATGTTTATTTGGTATATACTACATGTCACATATTGTTCTAGTAGTAGCAAAGCAGCCATGAACAAATTAGACAAAACCCTTGCACTCATGAGGTCTTCAATTTAGTGGCAGGAAGATAGATAATAAACAAATGTGCAAGCAAATACGTAAGATGTTATTTATCAAAGAGAATTAAAAATAAAGCAGAGTAACAATTGTAGTTTATTGGGAAGAAAGTGGTAGGGGAAGGTATTATTTTATAGAGCGCGGGCAAGAAGATCTCCCTGATTATTTGACACTTGAGTAGAAACTTGGGAGAACTCCGGGAAAGTTACAGGAGGAAGAAGTTTCCTGGTAGAGGAAATAGAAAGTGTAAAGGTCTTGAAGGAAAAGAAGGTCATGTCCTGGAAAGTGTGGAATTTTTCTCTGAAGTCAAAACAGAACCCATGAAGGAAAATTGACTAGAAGAGAGATATAATGTGACACATGGAAAGAACCATGCTAGCTGCTCTATTAAGAGTAGGCTGGGCTTAATAGAGGTTGAAGGAAGAGAAGCAAGTCAACTAGCTGGGAAGCTACTGTAAAAATCCATATCAGAGTGTAATAAGAGTGGGACCAGGTTAGTGGCATAGAAATGATGAAATGTGGTCATATTCTAGATACATTTTTAAAGTACAGCTGACAATTTGCATCAGATGAAGAATGACTCCAAAGTTTGTTTTGTTTTTTTTTCATTCCGAGTAACTATGGAATATAGTCATCACTTATTGAGATAAAGAAAATTACAGGAGAAAAGGTTTGGAGGATGTCAGATAAATAATATGGATTGGGACATATTAAGTTTGTGACATGTGTTGCACATCTAGATAGTGGTCTACCATGGATCTGGAGTTCAGAGGAAAGATTACATTTATCAATCATCAGCTCAGAGAGAGATATGAGGCAAGTGAGATAATCTAGGAGATAACTGTGGGCAGGAAACTAAAAATTTCTCATGACTGAACACTGAAAAACTCCAAAATTTATACATTGAGGAGATGGGAAGGAAATGTCAAAAGAGATAAAGAAATAGCAGCCACTGAAATAGAAGAACCAACTTTGATGACAGGAGTCTTGGACTGGTACTGGAGATTAAATCAAGTGTGAAATAATTTGATAAGAGAATAGGGGGACAAGAATTTAAGCTGGAGAATAAAATCACTGGTTTCAAA